TTCGCCAACCATTAGCACAGCTTCGTTGCGGAGCCAAGCCTTAATTTAGAAAGAAAGTTACTTCTTCTTAATTTCCATTCATTCTATGCCGTTTTTTTAACGGTACACGACAGAAGGACCATCGCGCCGCAAGATGGCTGAACGTCAGCGAACGAGTTCAGCCGCTCGCGCGTACTATAGGGATTTCGCGTCAAGTTAAATAGAATGTCCCACTGCACGTCCTACATCGCACAGCACGCGCTGCGACTCGTCCGCTGACTCTGCCTTCTTGCCGCACGACGGGCCTCCTGTCGGGTACTCTTTTCTAACAGCCAAAACTTCCTTCTTTGACTTGGTTTCTGTTTATTACCTGCTCTGTCATTACTAGCATTCGTCTCATACCCAAGGTCATAACAATCCCTTTCGCATCAATGTTTGTCGGCATGTACGGTGAATTCATTGCGAATAATTTTGATGGCTGAAAATAGTAGTGAGTACAGACGAATCGAATCGTGTTCAACTGCCCTTTCTTGAAAAAAAAATGAATAGGAAGAAAAAATACGATGGATAGCACGACAGTACATCTATCTTCCTTTTTAATTCCGCTTCAAGAGTCTCAACCACTGCAGCAACATCTTTCTGATTGCGACAGCGTCCAGCCAGTAAAAAGTAGCCATGATTAGTGAGCACCTGACAAAAGGAACTGTAGAGCTGAAAATTCAGGCCGCAAATAGCGGCAAGGATAAAAAACATACCTGAAGCCAATCATCACATGATGAGTCTGTTGCAAGTCGCTTCGCCCACCTGAATACGTCGCGAAGTGTCATAAGTCCTGAATATTTCAAATATAATGTGTATTCATGGTTATCACAACTACTACTAGTTCCACTCTTGGAGAAGTTCCAGTGACAAGGAGAAACTGACCATCCTTAGCAGAGAAAACTCCGGTAATAGATCGTTTCACACGCAGCTTTGAGAGCACGTTGATCATTTTAGTGGCGGCAGATGGGTGCACTCCGCAACGTACGCATACCTTAATATTTGAGAACATTCATAGTATCCCTACTTTTTACATGCTATAGGCTCTTACCATTGATGAGAGTTCGTCCAGAGGAATGTTGTTAAAACGTAACACAATAAATCGAGACATTAGAGCTCGTGAAAGTCGCTTTCGGCCACCATAGCTTCCAGCAGGATTTTGAGTTGCAAACAGTCGGAAGCGTGGATGCGCTTTGATAACTGCATTGGTTTCCGGCACGTACAGCTCGCGGTTGTCATCCAGAAGCTGAAAGGATCAAGTCTTTTGAAAACTCAATACAAAGTACCTGAGTAAATTACCATAGGAAAAAATGAAGAGTAGGGTAAAAAAAATACATATTTGCAATATCGGATTTTACCACTACGCCAATAATTCATGGAGAGATACTTACCTTTTAAAGGACTAATTTCAAAAAATAGTGCGAATAAGGCCACTCAAACCATAGATTCATTAGAAGTTGGATTGGCGCACGATATTAAGTGCATTTTAGGGTGAGCTACTGCGGAACAGCCTCTCTTACTGTGATTCGATCAAACCTCTTTTGAAAATTCCTACGCTAAATCATGGATGGATCCGTTTCTGACTGCTTTTAGTTATTGGCGCTTTGCTCTACAAATTTCTCTCAATCTCTAATTCTGAAGTGAGCTGTGCCGAAACAAGCAAAACCTTGTGGAACACGCGCTGCTGTTCCGATCGATTGAACCACGGTGATTCCGACCGGAAACCGCTATATCCCCTTAAACTCTCCCCCAAAACCTATTGCCGTATCATAATGAACCAAAAACCTCCGCGGTAGCGCTCTTCCCAGTACATGTTCTTACTGTGAGGACCTTCCGTTGTGCACCATTCCAAAGGTAGTTGTAAGTTTTCCAAATTTTTCACGGTGTCTTAACAGCCGTGATTAGGTTCAACCATGAGAAATCCATCTCGGGGCATTATACTGGTCTTTGTTCCTGCCGTTCTGTCCTCCTAAGCGGGGTCTGCCCCACTTAGGAGGACAGAATGGCAGGAACAGAGACCAGCGTCAGTATTTGAAAGCCACAATGCACATAGCAGAAGAAAACAGAATTTCAAATACACTTCGACTTTAACGAGACAAAAAGCATGGGGCTTCCCGAAGATAGGAATTACTACGCTTACATTTACAATGCGCTCCTAGGGATCGCACAAATCTGTAGAAATCGTAGAAGTTGAAAAAAAAGAAAAACGTTGAAAAGAACCCACCCTATTAAAGCAGAGCCTCAATGATATCAGTTGGAGCAAGATTCAACTCGTCTAGAATCACCCAGCTTCCATTTCGAACAGCTTTTACCAGCGCTCCTTCGCGAAACACCAGACGACCATTGGAATCTCCAACATAGGATCCCATGTACCTGCAACGACGCCACTCAGCACACAAAAAACATTGCCATAAAAATATCACGTACTCTTGAACGTCGGTGTGCTCATGGTTATTGATGCGGACAATTGTATTGCCACTGGATTATCGCAGCAAGATGGCAAACGATTGAAGTTTTCCCGGAGCTGGTTTCACCTTCCAAACAAGATTGGAAATCTAATGAAAGCAAGCATGTTCACAGATATTTGAAGTGAAAAGTACCCCGATACTCCTTCCGCTAGAAGTGATCCGAGCGATCTCGGCAAGATTTTGTTTCACTGTTTTTGTAACAAACGTAGTTTGCAATCTTCACGAGGTTAGTTCTGCACCACGTTCGATCCAGTATCCCTCTACCTGTAAATTTGTATGATTTGTAAATGTTTACATAAACACAGTCGTAAAGGGGTGTTTGATTGATCAAGTCGCGACTGCAGGGCAAATTTCTTCCTCATGTTTACGTCACACGATGGCTTAGTTTGCTTCAGCGCTGTGCTTGATCTACACACCTTGCCAACCTTCCACTGAGCGAACACTACCAATAAATTCCAAATTTTCACTTTTTCAGCTTCAAATACAAAGAAAAATGCAATAACGAATAGAAACTAACCGAAACATAGTTTTCAGCCTTTCCATTAGGAGGGGGCACAGGAATGTTAGTCGCGACTCGAAATGTCTGAGCTATTTTGACCCGCATTTTTTCTTTAGCCACAGCATCAAGATTGGTGAGAAAAGCCATACATATCTGAAATACGAACATTATCTGTTGTTATAGCTAAACGTTTGGAAAAAGCACGCCAAAATTCTCGACGGGGAGTGAAATCGTGCCAGCCTTCTGCAAGGGATGGTATATAGAGGGTTTGGCCTTACATTTTCGAAAGAGTTTGGATGGGTTCATCGGCTTACATTTTGACTAATGTGTAAATTTTAACAGTTTCAATGTTACACGCAATATGTGAACCACAATCGCCAATAATTTGTGCAATGAAGCGGGTAAGATAGGTGCCAAAGAAAAAGTAGGAGTGAAAAGTCGAAGAGGCACGTGGAGATGGAAAGTCACGGGGAGTCTCATCTGAGGGAGAGGCGGTATGGTACTTTGGCGAATTCGAAGATGCTCTAGCCTCAACCAGATTTCTACCTTATCGCCATTCAGGAGGAAAAAGAATGAAACGAAAACTCGCCGCTTCATATAACGACCGATCCTCACTTCCGAACATATTCTCTGCTGCGAACATTAAAGCACGGCATAGTGTGCGCAGACTATAATGAAAAAATATTTATAGTATCTCAAGAGGACGCTCCAAATGTTGGCAAACTTTACCTGTAGCTCATCGGATAGAGTTGCTTTGCTTGAAGATAGAAGTTTACCAGATTACTCACGGCGATTGACTTCATCGAAGGAAGATAAGCAGAAACTACTAAAGCTATTTGGTGGGCGTCGGTCATCTCAGGCACATAGAACTCTGTGAATCTAAACTAGCGAGATGTTTAGCATCGCCACTATGTATTATTTCGCTAAAGGAGTTCGGCACAAAGGAGATTTTCCTGCATAAACCTTCACAAACGACATCAAGCTAGGTTGCAGTGGCACGATACAGCACTCACCGAGTTCGAACGCTGGCTGGAAGCCGTCGCTTACCAGCATCTGTTGCTGGATTCATACAAGCAAAAAGGCGAAAGTTAGGGTGGACATTGCCCAAAATAGCATGGACAATCGCATCGAGACTCTCCGGGGGAGCTAGATTGATCTGCAAACTCACATTTGTGAGGGAAACGAAGACTATGGTTAGGATTTAGAGTAAACGACGCACCTCGTCGATGAGTAGCCAGTACCCTTCTTGTGCTGCTTCAAGCACAGCTCCGCGACACACTGCGAAAAGAGCAGCTCCATTTTCTAGGCTTTCTCGTATCCGCTTGCCACGAACGATCACAGACGCCCATCGGGGATCCTGAAGAGCAAATATAAACAAACAAACAAAAATGAAAGCGCATTCAAAAACACCTTTTTCTTAGATTGCTTCGAAAGCGCCTTCTCAGCTGTTGCTATTGCTACAGACAAATAGTCTCGGTATCGTCCAGATGATAAACAGGCCTGAAAAATGGACATCGAATAACTTCAGAATAGTTGAGAAACGCTTTCCTTACCTCTAAATGTGATAGAAATTTCTGATTTTTTGAAGACATCAAAGGTACTGGAAAAATGTCTGGTAGAAGTTGATGTAAAGGTTTAGAATCATGAAGAATTTGTCGTCGCTTGCCTACCTGAACAGAGAAGATAAAATCGAAACAACATAATAAACTTAAGTTTTCATAAACAAGAGACAGAATTAAAGGATTAGTGAAGGTGAAGTTATAGCTAAACTTGCCCGCTTATGAGTTCGTCTGTGTCGGATGAGGGAGTGAGATTCACAACTTTGAGACTAGCATTAACCGCCGATGCCAAACTCTGTACTATGGAAGTTTTACCAACGCCTGTTTCCCCAACCAAAAGCACAGGTTCACGATTCTGAATGCAAACGGCGAGGCGCTCTCCGATGCGCTGAAGCACATCCCGAAAATATTCAAAGTATTACTCGACGATACACTTAGCATTCTCTAAAGTATTACCGTGTATGGCCTAAGCGGTGGGAAAGCGTATTGTGTAGAGGAGAAGATGGCAGGCGACATCGTCCAACAGTGCACCATCGATCATCATGTGAAAACGTCGGCTGGCGAAGGAAGAGGTGAAATGAAATTTGATCGCCAGTGATTGAGAGTGGAGCAGCCACTTAAAACACATTTGGGAGCAGTAACACAATATTCTGCTCAAAGTAGAGCTGACAAATGAAAGAGCAGTGCCAGTTGCTTGTTTGCAAAAAGAAATGCGCTTTCAAAGAAAAGGTATCAAAATGAATTGGAGAGAATGAGAGATGTTCTCCTTGAAATTGAAAAGCTTGAGGTTCATCCCACGTTCAACTGCTACATAACATTTGTTATGGCCATTCAATTCTACACATTTTTCTTCTATTAGAAAAGTTCCTACCTTCTCACATAACTTCGTAGCCCTATCCGGAACGTCAGCAAGGCACCAAGTGTCGAGTAACTCCGTAAATATAGCTATATTCGACGATAGATCAGAGAGCTTGTTGACGCGCGCACATCCTCGAAGTAGATCGCTGAAAAATCCTCCTCTAATTGAGATGAAAAACAGAAACATCAGACTATTCCACAAGTTCTCGGCTTTCTATTCCCCATTTTTTTTCGGTTATTTGTTTCCAGTAATTGAAGCCTTGGCCTCAGAACTCTGTCCACCTTGTAAAACAAAGAATTGGGAAGAAAGTGGATAGA